ATATATATATATATATATATATTATTTTTATTTTTTTTTTTTTTTTTTTTCACTTATTTGATACAACGGTTAAACCAGTTACAGTTCTCTAACCAAGTTCGATAGGCAGCACTGACAGCTAAAAGCTAGCAACACATCTTTCTAGCAACTGTTCTACACCACCAATAATGAATGAAAATCACACTATAGTAACTTTTCATACATATTAGTATATAGAGCATGTTGTTCAGTGTGATCTGTTTATACAAAAACGAGCACCCACCAGATAAACCTTTCAATATTTGCCGAGCAGTTTTGAGTCGGAAACTGTCGCCAGAAACACCTAAGCAATTAAAGCGGAAGTGAAACTCTTTACTTGTGTTTGCATTGCAATGTGGGAATTGTAGTCGTTTATTCTTTCGTCTAAAGGCCCGTTCACACCAAGCACGATAACTATAAAGATAACGATAAATGTATAGTTCTAAAAATCGTTCTCAATATTAAAGAATAGCAGAGTTCACACCACGACTATAACGATAAAGGCACAGAGAAACGATATCGTTGGAATCACTTCCAGAACGATTTTTTTCCAGCTGATGAACGATACAAACATTGACAGCCAATCAGAATCCATCCTGCTATAACGAGCTCGAGAATTTAGCAGCAGACGAGTGTGCGCTTACAGACGATATCGTTCGCTGGTGTGGACGCTAATATCGTTATCTTTATAGTTATCGTTCTTGGTGTGAACGAGGCTTTACTCACCCTCAAGTTGTTCCAAACCTGTGAGTTTCTTTCTTCTGCTGAACATAAAAAAAATATATTCTGAAGAATGTTGGTAACCAAACAGTTAACTGTAGCCATTGACGTCCATAGTATGGAAGACAAAAATACTATGGAAGTCAATGGGTGCCAGCAATTTGCTTACCAACATTCAAAATATCATCCAGAAACTCATACAAGTTCGGAAAAACTTGAGGGAGAGTAAATGAGGAAACTGAAATTTTTCTTTTTCAACTATCTTTAATGTAATTCAATATTAAAGAATAGCATAGTTCACACCACAACTATAACAATAACGATACAGAGGAACGATATCGTTGTGATCACTTTCAAAACGATTTTTTTTCCAGCTGATGAACGATACAAACATTGACAGCCAATCAGAATCCACCCTGCTACAACAAGCTCGAGAATTTAAAGCGGCAGACGCACATGCGCTTAGAATAAACAGACGATATCGTTCGCTGGTGTGGACGCTAATATCGTTATCTTTATAGTTATCTTTATAGTTATCGTTCTTGGTGTGAACGGGGCTTAACTCAGAACGGAAACTGCATATTATTGAAAAGGAAACAGTGGACCCAAAAATAGTAATTTGTAACTATAAAACTTTTCAATCTCTTTAAATATATGTAATAAGGTCTTTTATTTTGAATTCAGCATTACTGGCCATTAAATTTTATCGCTGTTAACTATATTTTTCTGCAGCATGAAATGTTATTAATAAAATAAGATAAATAATAAATAAGTGAAATAACACTTTTTTTCGTTTTGTGCTGTATATTGTTTTATTAGCCTTTCTTTTGCACCGCGTTTTACATTTTCTTAGTTTATTATTTTTATAATTTGACCAGTTGCAGTTTATAAAATGTTTGTAAAATGTTATTTATAATATAACCTTTCTTGAACATTTCTTTTAAGGAAAAAAAATTGCATTTTTATTTGTTTATTTTTTATGAGAACATTATGTCAACAAATAAGGAAGCAGTTAAAATTCAAAAATATAAAATAATAAAAAAAAATTATAATGAAAAAAAAATACAAGATAGGGCTATATAATTAAACAGAACACATCACATTCAAAGCAAAAGATATAGTCCCAAAGTAATGCTGTATTTCAGCAAGCTAAACAAAAAATGTTCTGACTTGATAATTTACATTTATGTATATAAAATTTTGTTAACAAGACAAGAAGATTAAGTATATTTAGTTTTTCTGTAAATGCACCTTTTTTCCAATTAACAAATCCAAACAATACATTTTACCAAAGTAAAGAAAATTCTTTATCAATATTCTCATTATCAAATAAAGAAAAGTCTTTCCACAACAATTTAGAGTAATGGAAAAATAGCATTATTCAGACCAATATTTTGACAGCCAATTCTGTCACCAAGGAACAACCAATGTATGGCGCCATATCGATCACGTGACTAAACAAACCGTCCAATCACAATCTTCCGAGAAGTTCGCGTCGTAATTTTAAACGGGTGTGTGAATCGAAACATCCTCGGGTTGTCTATTTACACAGCCAGCGAAAATTCAATGTGCGAGTTCACCTATTCATATATTCGGTAATCTTATTGAATATAGCCTATGGATGCATTCAACAAATCAAAAATAAACTTACGTATATGTAGGAACACATCGCGATCTTTTCAATGAGTTCTCACATCGTCACCCCAGGTCCATACAGGGCCACTAAACTGGTGAGTCTCTCCTGCCTTATTTGATCAAATATGGTCTGCTGATGTATCACACTAGTTTACAAGGCCAATGACCTGCATGTCAGTTTTATCATCCACATATATTTGTATGTAAAGCACTTTGAGTTGTTATTTGTGATCTAAAGAAGTGTTTTATTTTTTATTGAGTGTTCCTTGAATCAGCTAAAAGACTTTTTCTATATGAAGTTCACATTAAAACTGTTTATCATTCCTTCATCATTTATTTTTACTACTTGTACTGTATATTTAATGTTAATTGTGAATACATTTTGAACAACAACAAAAAAGAGTGACAACAATATTACTCTATGAAACTTTTAAATTTTTCTACCAGTCATTGAATTTTGAATTAAGTGATTGCAAGCTCCTCATGTGATATTAACCCTTTATTTTCCAGTGGAATGAAGTAACCAAGCTTTTCCGGGCTGGGATGCCTTTGAAGAAGCACCGGCAGCACTTCAGAGTTTACATGAACTGCTTCACTGCATCAGCAGCTGTGGACTGGTTACATGAACTCCTGAAGAACAACAGCAATTTTGGACCCGAGGTCACCAGACATCAGACAATCCAGCTGCTGAAAAAGTTCTTGAAGAACCATGTTATTGAAGATGTGAAAGGTAGATGGGGCATGGAAGACCTGGAGGACAACAGTCAGCTGTACAGGTATGATAAAGTGGATGTTTTTGAGAAATTTGGTTTAAAAAGAAATTGAGAAACGAGGTTTTCTGGTTTAAAATATGCTTCAGGTTTCCATCAACATCTCCGCTGAAGCCCATTCCTAACCGTGCCCCTGTTTTGAGGAAAAAAAGCATATCTATGATGGACAGGGAGAGTTTCTTCAAATTCAGGAGCTCGAAGAAATTTGACAAAGAAATATTGGTAATTTTTGTTGTTTCAAATGTGTTGTTAATGTGAAATTTCATTGCAGATGTATAATATCCACTTGCTATTTCACACAGGAAAATGTGGATCCAGAAACACAAGAATCTGCTATAGGATCATCCTCAGGTGAGACGGAGCACTGCAGGGAGCTCACAGAGGACGACATTCAAGTCATCTGGAAGAATGTCACACTTACGCAGTAAGCCGACCTCCCCCCACACCATCTGTCTCATATATAGTTTGCATGCATTGTAGTACACAGCTTTGCACCAAAAGTACTTCCTGTTTGCAGTCACTTACAATTAAGTGAGATAATCTAATGCTAATACTTTGATGTATTGCTTGGTTCTAGGGCTGTGCGATATTGAAGAAAAATGCGATATGCGATAACTCATTAAATAATTCGATCCCAGCCAAAACCCCAAATGTGAACGCTGCCAACCTGTTCAAATCGACCGAATGCCTCCTGCTGAGCTTAATAAGAAAAGAGGCCTTCGATGAAGCCGATTCGCCCATGAGGGAAGTTTTCAGTTCAAAAGCAGAGACTAAGTTAGAAACCCATAGAGCACAGCAGCCTGTTTTTAGAGGTAGAAGGGCCAGTGATGGAGACCGGCTGGGCGGTAGCTATCTAGAAATTCCTCTGGCTCACAAAACAGAAGTCCCATATGGCAGGCTTCGGTCAAGAAGTTGCTCTTTGGAGGGAATTGTTGATAACCGTTCAAAGAACAGACTTCTCAGATTATCTGAAAGCCTACAGTCCTGCAGCAGTGATAAATCATCCTCTCAAACAGATTCTCCAGTAGACCCAAACCTCAAATTTGAGCTACAAGGTTCCTTAGTGTCCATAAACTCTTGTATTCAAACTTCCAGCAACAACACAAGCACCCAACTCCCTTCCGATCTTCGCCGAACCAACCAGAGACCCTCCAGGGCCCGGCCTAGAAGCATCGGTAACTTGTTTGACATAAAGGAGAATAGAGAAATGTCTGCTAGCAGCTTTAGCATCCACGCTCCTGTGGCTGAAATTACCATGAGACCAGATTCCACATCCAGCATTGGCCTTCGAGGTCCTGGTTTGCTCAGTTTGCATGGAAGTTGCATGGACATTAGGGCAGGTCCAAGCTTTAGCAGACGCTGTCAGAGCTCTCTGGACCTGAGCAAACCTGCACTCACTCGGCCCCCTTCGGCCCCATTAGCACGCCACCCTGAGCAAAGTAAGAGCATGTGAAAAACACACATGAACCATGAGGATGTTCTTCTCTGTTTGTGCTTGAGCATGTGTTTGTTTGTGCCCGCCAGACTAACGTGAATTATAATTCTTAAAGTGATAGTTCACCCAAAAATTTACTCACTCTCATGTTTTTCCAAACCTGTATATCTTACTTTCTTGCTTGGAACACAAAAGAGATACTTAGGAGGGAAAAAAGCTGCTCTTATTTTCTTGCTAAATATCTCCTTAGAGGTATGGAACGATATAACAGATTTTTAATTTTGGGGTGAACTATCACTTTAATGCTAACTAATTCTATGGCACACTTTGGCTACTAATAATACTTTTTTATGTTATATATTTAGTCTCACGCTGGAGTGGCAGTGAGGAATTACTCAGCTTATGACTTCAGGTAATGGATGTAGCATGCAGATGGCTTGAGCTTTACATCAACAGTCAGCTGTGCCATTGCATTAAGAGCAGTGTAGACCTCATGTACTATTAAAATTCAAGGTTGAAGTTTGTCGGGATGTGGGCCAATGTTTTATGTTTACTCATCTGTTCTTGTCAACTCTGTTTGCAACTCAGGGTCAGGTGCTGAACGGCCACTGACTGTACACTCATAAAGCTCACGAACCACTGGTCAAATACCAAACCAAACACTTCTGACCTGTGCTTCGCTGTCTTACATTTGTGCCAGATGTCACTCTGTGTCTTACATAGTGTTCTTATTGTGACAAGACAGTTTTTGTCTTAACCAACTGGGTCAACCAACGAGCCGGTTTGCATTGTTTGGTTTCGAAAGTGACAGCAAAGACTTTTGAACTTTCTATTAATCTAAAAATACTGAAAGCTATGTTTCACAGTTTGCACAAAAATATTAAGCAGCACAACTGCTTTAAATGTTGATAATAATACAAAATGTTTCTTGAACACCCAATCAGCATATTAGGATGATTTCTGAATGATGTGACTCTAAAGACTGGAGTAATGATGCTGAAAATTCAGCTTTACCATCACAGGAATAAATTACAGTTGAAAATATATTGAAATAGAAAACAGTTATTTTAAATTGTGCAGTATTTTTGTGTTCAATTTGGAAATGAACTAGTAATCAATTAAGTAAATCTAAGTATTGTGTGCAGAGTCCCATGGGATTGTTACAGTTGAAGTCAGAATCTGCAGAATGTTAATTATTTTACCAAAATAAGAGGGATCATACAAAATGCATGTTATTTTTTATTTAGTACTGACCTGAATAAGATATTTCACATAAAAGATGTTTACATATAGTCCACAAGAGAAAATAATAGTTAAATTTATAAAAATGACCCTGTTCAAAAGTTTACATGTGCTTGGTTAATAATACATTGTTGCTTCCTGGATGATCCACAGCTTTTTATGTTTTGTTTTGTGATGGTTGTTCATGAGTCCTGGGAAATCCTTCAGGTCCGACAAATTTTCCAGCATCTTTTGCATATTTCAACCCTTTCCAACAATGACTGTATGATTTTGAGATTCATCTTTTCACACTGAGGACAACTGAGGGATACGCAACTATTACAAAAGGTTCAAACAGTCATTGATGCTTCAGAAGAAAAAATGATACTGCAAAGTGTATGTAAAATGTTGACCACAACTGCATATTATCGTTAGTTATTGTAATTTGAATTCTCTTAGGCATACCAAGCGTAGCAAGATATTTCATTACATGTAAACTGTGTGTTGCTGAAAGCAGTTAATGTGTGTGATTTGATCATCAGTACTGACTACATGATGTTTAAGTTTTATGTGTATTCATCTTGTTTGTATTTAACTTCTAGTCCTGTGCTGTGGTTTATTTCGGTTACATGTGGGTCACATCACGTTCCAGGTTTATTGCAGCCGTCACTGGAGCGGGTGGCCGTCGAGGCCCTGCAGCTCTGCACGTTACTCCTGCCACCAGCCAGCCGCCGCAAACTACAGCTACTTCTGCGAATGATCTCGCGCATGAGCCAGAACGTGGACATGCCGCGGCTGCATGATGTCATTGGAACAAGGACAGTGGTCAGGAAGAGTCCAGTAGAGCTTATATAGATGGATTTTGTTTTTTATCATCTCAATCACATTAAAGTGAATATAGTGTTTTCCCGTTCTTTCGTACACATTGCATATACATTTGCGTTTATGTGTGTGCAGTTGGTGCAGACGTTCTCTAGGTGTGTGTTGAGCTGTGAGGAGGTGGATGATCTGGACGAGCTCTTGGCTACAAGGCTGTTATCGTTTCTCATGGATCACCATCAGGAGGTCCTGGAGGTGCCTGTGTACCTGCGTAATGCTGTGGAAGATCACATCAGTTATCTCAAATCACTGGTGAGTCCTGACAAACCACATGGAAATTAAACTCACACTGTATATTTCTTAGAAAAAACGTTTATTTAAATGTATATTTATTTTAATATTAACAATATATTAGCAGTGTTGTTTAAAATGCTAACTATATAGAACTATAATTAACTACATTTCGATAAAGCTGTTCCGCTCATCAAGGCTGCATTTGTTTAATCAAAAATACAGTTAAAAGGATAATATTGTGAAATTATTATTATAGTTTAAAATAACTGTTCTCTGTTTTAATATATTTTAAGTGTAATTTATTCCTGGGATGGCAAAGCTGAATTTTCAGCAGCTATTACTCCAGTCTTCAGTGCCACATGATCCTTCAGAAATCAGTCTAAGATGTCTTATTATTATCAATGTTAAAAACAGTTGGTCTTGCCTAATATCTTTATGAAAATCTTGATATATTTTTTCCATGATTCTTTGATGAATAGAAAGTTAAAAAAGAACAGCATTTATTAGAAATAGGAATCTTTTGTAACATTATAAATCTTTTCACGGTCACGTTTGATCAAATTAATGCATCCTTGGTTAATAAAGTGTGAATTAATTTACACAAAAAAAATCTGACCCCAGACTTTTGAACGGCAGTGTATATTTTAAATCATTTTAATTTAAAGCAACTTGCAACCTGAGGATGAAGGAATAGACAGAACTTGAGTTAAAACAAAAGCATCTGTTGTCAGCAATTCTGTCTCATCCCTCAGTTTGTAAAATCAAAGATATTTTTGTTTGTATTGTAATGGATTTACAATAGATGTCTTCAGGGCCATTGTATTGGAGGAATTAAACATAGAACATGTTAAATTGTATTTAAACCAAATTAATCATGAGAAGAGATGCCTCTGTTTATTCATTTATTCTTGCATTATATTTTGTTTATTCACCATTCATTTGCATGCGTTCTGGATCTCAGACCACATTCCGAGGCTCCGGTGTTGCCATGCCGACATACTCATTCTGCAGGCAGATCAGCACTCAGGAGTTTGAAGAGCAGAAACTCTCTGTGTCCCAGACTGCTCTTGCTGACCTACTGGAGAGTCTCATAAAGGACAAGAGCATGTCTGTGAAAGAGAAGAAAAAGAAGCTAAAACTGGTATTTATTTACTGAACTTCTCATATCTCATAAACATCCTGCTGTTTCCACGGAAGGGATACAAAATAAGGCCTTAAACATTTTTATTACTTTATTTTCTAGCAGTAAATATTAAACACAAATTGAAATTTAGTGTTGATTTATTGTTTGTTTGTTCATTTTATGACGTCCTAACAGCAAATCGACTTTTTTTTTTCTTTTTTTTCTTCTCTCAGTTTCAGAAGGAACATCCTGACATCTACTCGAGACGTTTTCCTACAACAGAGAGTGAAGCTCAGCTTTTTGCAGATAAACCAAAGATAAAACCGCCAATGCTGTTAAGCATCAAGAAAGCCAAAACCTTCGGTATTCGAAACTGAATACCTCTTAAAATGCTCATGTGTGAATGATATTTTGGGAGCCTGGGTGAGTTTAAAGACCTTTAGTTGATCTGTTGCAGTAAAAGGGCTGACATTGGAACGCATCAGTATAATCTGAACTGTACCTTTTGTTGAAGTGTTTTTTTTTTTTCTTGTTTCTTGTGGTATTTCTCTCTAGTGAAGTGACTTTTATTTCAGTTTCAATACAGATGTCTATTTTAATGTTATTTATTTAAGGTGTATGATTTACTGTAAGTTATTGGGAGCTTTTAGATATTCAGTGTCATAATAACTGCAAAAAAATCAGAGGACCCTCAGCAAATATTATGCAAATAGGCTTAACATGCTGTTTACATGGAGTCGTCTTGAAATAAAATGAAGATTTTATTTTTAGTCTTGTAACATTGTTTATGTTTCAGTTTTTAGTCCCTTGTTTTTCTGTGATCACCTTTTTGTGTGTCATCTTCAGGTGTCTTCACTATTAAAGACAAATATATAGGTTTTATGTGTAATGTGGGAGTTTCCTGGCTACGAAGCTAGTATGGGTTAATTTGCACTGTTTTTTCATCTCAAATGTGCTAATGTTGTCATTTCTTATGATGTACATATTTTCTTTCTAGTCATTATTGTCTATTCATTGCTTATGTTCTTCTTTGTTTTATCATCTTGCACTCAGTCATTGTGCCGATTCAGTGGCTTGTATTTTAAGAATGAAAGACTAAACTTGGGCAATGATTGATTTATGGTTTTACTGTATCGTTAATGAGCATAAGTGAGCCAAATCCATTACGTTTTATGTTTTTTATTACTTTATTGTATCACCATAAATACTTATACTGTTTCTGATCTATGCAATAAACATTTTTTTAAATAAGCATTTTTTGTTTGTTTGTGTTTAATTATGGAAGAATTGTCAGTATTTGAAAGATATGAATGTTCATTCATATGTGCATGCCTTTGTAGTCTCTGACTTGTGAGAAGTGCTGCTGTGTGCACCTTCACCAGTATTCACATCCAGTCTCCGTTTATGAATGATATGGTACTCTGACCCTGAAAAAACTAATCGTTTGTCATCCAGGGAAGTAAACAAAGAAAATGTGATTAATGGAATGCCTTTTCACATGCCACATTCCCATGTCTTTTGTTAAGACTATGGGCAATTGGCAACTTTTTGTATTGTTATATTGTGGATTCTTGTTATGGATGTTATTTATTTACATTTATTTCTTAATTTTAAAAAAATATTCATAAAGCTTTCTGCAAATTGAGCCAGTTCACCACAGGTTCAAATGTGTTCTTCATTTGCTCTGTAGTGTCTTTCAGGAAAGTAAAAATGAGTGGAAATGTTCTTGGTCTGAACACAAAGGGCTTTTTGTTTCAGAGCCGGAGGAGGAGTTCTAAGACTCTGTGGCTGTTCCTGGGAACAGAACAGTTCTGGTTTACACACACGGGCATCATCTCACCTCAAACTCATTTCAACATGGTCAGCCGGTGAGTAATGGAACTTTTCAGTCTCAGTCGAACTGCTCAGATTGTACAAATGTTTTTTGGTAGGGGAAAACGTGTTTCATTTATTGTTAATTTTAAATATATTTCTTTTTAAAAGTGATGTTTCCTTAGTCATTTGTTTCTTTCAAGCTTATATTTTTATTCCCTTTGGGCAATGTATAATTTAGAAGAATGTGCAAAATGCCTCACGAATGAGTATGTTAGTATAAGTTTAGTTGCCTCACGAATGAGTATGTTAGTATAAGTTTAGTTGTTTTCTTTTTCATTTTAGTTCATTATGTTAAAAATATGGACATCTGTTTTCATTCAGTCTTGAACACCCAGCCGGTGGCTATAAAAAAATCTTTGAGTCATGTGAAGAGTTAGCTGAGCCCATTCCTGCTCATGTCTCAGGTTGTATGCCTATAATCTTATAAATCAAGCATTTTCAATTTGATAATTTTCCACATTTAGTTTCTCCATGCTTTCATTGAAGGGAAAAGTGTATGCATCTTCTGCTGTGGCCGATGTAAATGCCTTGTAGCCTTTGATATGGGAGCTGTTTTATAGACATTTGGGGGCTGAAGAATTTGTTTGGTTAAAGTCTCTCTCTCTGCAGGCAATATCCCTGCCTGGCTCACTGGCAGTCTGCTCCGTATGGGCCCTGGGCTCTTTGAGATTGGAGATTAACCTTTTTACCACCTTTTTGATGGTCAGGCCCTCATGCACAAGTTTGACCTGAAGGATGGACATGTCACTTATTACCGCAGGTAAAACCCCTGTATTTTCATGTGTTTATCGTGCAGTAATACCCAAATATATAAATAAACTGCAACCCAAATTGAGTTTTGACCTAAATGTTTTGCAGTAATTTACTGGAATGGAAATAACTAGTGTTGGACTAACTTGTTTTGTAAAAAAGTGGTTTACACAATAAAGAAATGAGATTTTACTAAATCTAATGAATATTTACTGGCACCTTTTACTTTAGGTTTATCAGAACTGATGCTTATGTGAGAGCCATGACAGAGAAAAGGATTGTGATCACAGAGTTTGGCACCGCTGCATATCCAGATCCATGCAAAAACATCTTTTCCAGGTCTGGAGAGTATTTTCTGTTCAATTTCATTTGGGAGTAGAATAATAACGCCATGAAAACAAATGTACTCTTAATGGTGCATTTATTTTTGGAACTTCCTTTTTTTCACATCAGGTTTTTTACTTACTTTCAAGGCATTGAGGTGACGGACAACTGCCTTGTCAACATCTACCCTATTGGTGAGGACTTCTATGCCTGCACGGAAACCAACTACATAACCAAAGTTGATCCTGATACCCTAGAAACAATAAAAAAGGTAGGCTTTTGCACTGTTGCCCAATTTTGAGGCTATTAACAATAACATAAATCCTTTAAAGGAATAGTTCACCTAAAAATGAACATAAAGCCTCAGGCTTTACACTGCATTACATCAGTTGCTCGCCAGTGGATCCTCTGCAGTGAATGGGTGCCATCAAAATGAGAGTCTAAACAGCTGATAAAAACATCACCATAATCCATAAGTAATCCCCACGACTCCAGTCCATCAGATAACATTGTCCTGTTGATTTCTTATAGATTATTTTCTTTTTATCAGCTATTTGTACTCTCATTCTGATGGCAAAGGATGTAATGCATGAGATGTAAATTTTCTCCAAATCTGTTCCGATGAAGAAACATCTGCATCTCGGATGGCCTCAGTTTTCAGCAAATTCTAATTTTTGGATGAACTATTCCTTTAACATCTCTATTTTCCCCATAGGTGGACCTCTGCAATTATCTCTCAGTAAACGGTGTGACTGCACATCCACATACTGAACCAGACGGCACTGTATATAACATTGGGAACTGCTTTGGGAAGAACATGTCACTGGCCTACAACATTGTCAAGATCCCTCCACCACAAGAAGGTTGGTATATTGCTTTGTTTGCATAAAAGGATCTTATTAATGCATTCTGAGGAGGTGTTTAACTTTCTATTATCATTTGTTTCATCAGATAAATCTGATCCAATTGAGAAGTCAAAGGTTTTGGTGCAGTTTCCAAGCAGTGAGAGATTCAAACCATCCTACATCCATAGGTTAGTACTATAATGTAATATAACAACAATCTGTTCTTCATAATTAAAATAAATATTAATATAATAATATATATTTCACAGCTTTGGCATGACAGAGAACTACTTTGTGTTTGTTGAGACTCCTGTGAAGATCAATCTACTGAAATTTCTGACTTCCTGGAGTATCAGAGGGACAAATTATATGGACTGCTTTGAGTCCAATGACAAAATGGGTGTAAGTCAGAGCTTGCTGGCATTATATCATGTTCCTAAGGTTAATTATAGGCTTAAAAAAAAATGTTGTACGTTAACTGATCCTCTTCATTTGGCTGCATTCCCAGACATGGTTTCTTCTGGCAACCAAGAATCCAGGAGAAAACATAGACCACAAATTCAGAACATCTGCCTTTAATCTTTTCCATCACATTAACTGTTATGAGGACCAAGGCTTTATTGTGGTTGACCTGTGCACTTGGAAGGGGTAAGGCTTTTTTTTATTGAAGCTTTAGCTAATAGATCAATGAAACAAAAAACACTCTGCACATGAATTTGATAATGGCTCAAAATTTAGAATATAGTGATCATCTGTGGCCCCCTTTCTTTGATTGACAGGCATGATTTTGTGTATAATTACCTATATTTGGCAAACGTGAGGCAAAACTGGGAGGAAGTCAAAAAAGCAGCCATAAGAGCTCCACAGCCAGAGGTGCGGAGATACGTGCTTCCACTGGACATCCACAGGGTAAGAGTTATCATGATACTATTTCACCTCAGGAACAATTACATTGAATTCAGTTTGTTTCATTCATTTTGATCTTTCCAATGCAAAAGTTCATTCCTTTGTTCAACAGTCTGTTAGTTCGTTCCTTTGTTGTTTTTGCAGGAAGAGCAGGGAAAGAATTTAGTTTCGCTTCCATACACCACAGCCACAGCTGTCATGTGCAGTGATGGAACCGTTTGGCTTGAACCTGAAGTTCTTTTCTCTGGACCGCATCAAGGTAAATATTCAGCACCTTCCTTATTTGGAAATTGTCATAAATACAGCAGAGTTATTACAGTTTTTATAATAAAAAAAATATATATATATGTTTAATTACTATTGCATTGATATCCAGTACTTAAAATTTAATGTAGATTTAAAAAAAAATAGATTGAAAGTTTTTCTTCTTCGGGGTTCTGTTTGTGTTTCAGCTTTTGAGTTTCCTCAGATTAACTACAAAAAATACTGTGGGAAAAATTACACCTTCGCTTACGGACTTGGGTTAAACCACTTTGTTCCAGACCGGGTGGGTGTGACGTGATACTGAAAACATTCTTCATGTTCAACATTTGTTCTGTGTTTGTGATTTGTGTTCTTTTTGTGGGGTTTTAGATTTGCAAGTTGAATGTGAAAAGCAAAGAAACGTGGATATGGCAGGAGCCAGATGCCTATCCATCCGAACCACTGTTTGTGCAAAGCCCTGATGCTAAAGACGAAGATGATGGTATTGCATATCTTTTACTAAACAAAATATATATTTCTGATCTGTTTATTCTCGATATAAATGTCTTCTTTCTGCTTTTCTTAGGTGTTCTTCTGAGTATTGTAGTGAAACCAGGAGTCACCCAGAGGCCAGCGTTCCTCCTCATACTCAATGCCACTGACCTGACAGAAATAGCACGTGCAGAGGTTGATGTCATGATTCCTGTCACTCTTCATGGCCTGTACAAACCTTAGAGGATCAGAATCATGACGTTCCATTTCAGTAAACAGACAATACTTTCAAATTTGAAATTTTTTAATAATACATGTAAAATCCTTTAATGTTATTGTTGCTCATTTAAATGGGCCAGTTATATGACCTGATATGCTTGTAATGCAACAGCTTTTTGATAACGTGTACTATAGGAAATACTTTTTTTTTTAAATAAACTTTTTACTTCAGCATTAAGGAAAAATTATTTATTCACAAGTAAAATTCCATATGTACAAATGTGTTTGTTACATCAGTCAGAAAATCACAATGATAAGGCACTGCTGTTGATTACAGCCACAGTGTCATTAAAATATAAAGATATGTGTTAGTTTATTACTTTAATAAAACACCTTATACGAGTTTATAAAATTCACTGAGGTTTCTGCAGAGGTAGTGTTACAGTCTGAGAAAAGGCGTCCTCATTTTCATGAAGCATGTGTTTTATAAAGCTTTGTTATTTCAAGAGTGCAATCCATAGTTTGAAGAAAGTCCATAAATTGTGAAAAAAGTGAATGTTTTAAGATAA